CAACAGCTCTATGGGTTATATAATGCCGAAATCTAAATAATTTATGCAATTTTATGACTTCAACTAAATATATTTTGAACGCAATTGTATGCCTTCAAGTACAGATAAAATGTATTGTTGGTCATTTTACTATAAATATGTATTGTTGGTTGGTTGATTTTGTTTAGCGGCATATCAACACCTCTATGGGTTATTTAATGCCGAAATCTAAATATTCTGAACACAATTTTATGGCTTCAACTAAATATATTTTGAATGCAATTGTATGCCTTCAACTACAGATAAAATGTATTGTTGATCATTTTACTATAAATATGTATTGTTGGTTGGTTGATTTTGTTTAGTGACATATCAACACCTCTATGGGTTATTTAATGCCGAAATCTAAATATTTTGTACGCAATTTTATGGCATCAGCAACATATTTTCAACGCAATATTATATCTTTAACTACAAATATTTTGTACATTCAGAGTAAACGTATGCTTTATAGTCATTTTCCAAGCGTAGCTTAGATGTGGCACAAGGCCGAAATTAGGGGGCACCCAGTGAGGATCTAACTTACTCGTAATTGTCCTAGCGAGCCAAGCTTGCTAACCATTACACTGCCTCGAGGTGCCCAACGTATGCTTTATAGATATGTCGTTCGAAGATTATCTGTTGTAGGTGATATATGTTTGTATAAACCTATTTCTTTAATCTGAGGCATTATGTTGACGGTTTCAGTATTTTCAGATGTAATTTAAAGCAAAAAAGTTGGTTTTCTGTATCGGGCCAGAAGATTTTTCTCGTTTGAGGGCTAGACATCTACAAATCTACCATTTATCCATGCAGTGAATATTGTTACCATATCTGGTCTGACGCCCTTCTGTTCATCTAGAGGTCCTCGATAAAATCCAAAGAAAGGTCTGCAATGTAGTCGGTCCTGACTTGGCATCTAGACTTCAGTCACTTTCGCACAAACATGATGTGGCTTCCCTCTGTCTTTACTACAAATATTTCATGGCAACTGATCTGATGAGGTATTTTCCCTGTTGCCCGCACTGCATGAATCTAGGACCCACATTTTTACTGTTGAAACAGCTAAATGTAAACGTCTCTTATATAAAAGTTTCTTACTCACTTCCCGACAGTGTAACTCCCTTCCTCTTACTTGCTTCCATGATAACGAAAATCTTCAAAAATTTAAATGTAATGTCAATCATCATCTTCTGAAGGCTTGATACTCGCTCTTCTTTTAATCCTTTCTTCAACCCCTCCTATACCGAGTCTTTTCTCTTACTTTTACTCTCTGTAACCAGAAGTATATAGTTAAATGAACCAGAAACACAATCCTAAAAAGTGTTAAACCTCAACTCCTGTTTAAAAAGCCGGAGAGGAGTGTAAACCGGCCGATGGGCGAATCTATCTACTCCTATTGGGGAAGGAAGGAAAATCAAATCAAAGTTCAAGTGGAGAGGTTGGGATTATCGAAATGAAATAGAATTTAGAACGAACCGGAAACGCAATCCTAAAACTGAAACAAGACTTGAACCTCGACTCCTGTTGAAAAGACTGAGGAGGAGTGTGAACTGGACGATAGGAAAACCTATCTACTCCTATTGAGAGAGGAAAAATCGTAATTAGTAAATAAAATTTCAGATTTCAGGCGAAGACATCAGAATTACATATTTGAAGGAACCGGAAACCCAATCCTAAAAATTGAACAAGGGTTAACCCTCGACTCTTTCTCAAAAGACAGGGGAGGAATGTGAACCATCAGACTGGTGAACCTATCTATACCTATCGGGGGAGGAGGAAAAATAATTAGTGAAAATAAAGTCAAGGTTCACCTGGAGACGTTAGGATTATCGAGTTGAAGTAGACTTTAGAAGAACCCGGAAGCCAAATCCTAAAAATGAAGCAAGCGTTAAACCTCGACTCCTGTTCAAAAGAACAGAGGAAGATTATGAACCGGACGATAGGTGAACTTATCTACTCCTTTTGGGGGAGGAGGAAAAAATAATGAGTGAAAATAAAGTTCAAGTGGAGACGTTAGGATTATAGAACTGAAGTATAATTTAGAAGGACCCGGAAACGCAATCCTAAACAGAAAACAAGGGATATATCCCCACTCCTGTTCAAAAGGCCGAAAGTAGAATGTGAACTGGACCATAGGCGAACCTATCTACTCCTATTAACTATTAATGAAAGAAATGTGTGCTGGACTGTTATGTAATATCAGTCCCCCACCTATGGCAATACTTTAATATACAAAGTACGTACAAATGGACGGCAAGTGCCAATATGCCGTCTATGACAGTAAACGTTGGACAATTTCCTTATAGACGAAAAGAACCCTTGAGGCAACAGAGAGAGTCTTCTAAAACAAAGGACGATGGATGATAAGTTGCCGCTTTCTAAACTGCGTCTAGAGATTATATGCAAGTTATGAGTTGGTATAAAGAGTTGCGTCTTTAATGTTAAAAGTCCTATTAGGATGTTGTTTAGATTCTACTCAATATTATTAACTTAGATATATAGTGATAGAGAAAATTATTATTTTTGGTTGAAAAAATTTTTACGAAGTTAACGAAACAGACTAATTTGACTGTCAGGAGTTTATTTGCAACTATTTATTTTGATACTTTTACATTATTATACCTTGTAAAACTAATGTAAAAAAATAATATGAAAAGATTTTAGAACAAATTCGTCAATTTCTTAAAGGAAAAACATTAAAAAAAACATTTTATTTTAAAAATAAAAGATATATTAACAAAAAATAATAAGAACCTCCTAAAATCTATTGCACAAATGCTCCTTTCTTTTTAATAACTCTTAGCAGCCTATTGTCAACATCTGATGTTAGATTTGCAATTTTAGCGGCTGGTAAGTTGTTTGCAGCAACTTTAACTGCCTCCCAGAGGTCACACTTGCTGTTGAATTGCCTTCCATTAGAATAAATATCTCTCTTGAGGATGCTCCACAGGTTCTCAATGGAATTCAAGTCACAGCTATTTGAAGGCCAGTCCATAAGAGAATCTTCAACAAATCCCTTTTCTTTCAACCAGGATTTAGTAAACTTTGATGCATGACTTGGTGCGTTGTCTTGCATAAAGATTATAGATCTACGCTTGGCTAAAGACTGGTTATCAAGCCATTCAAAGAAATATTACTCTAGAAAATCACAATAACTTTTGGAATTCATTTTAACCCCGTCTTTCAGTTTAAATGGACCCACGAGCTTATTACCAATAATCCCAGCGCATATCATAATCCCACCGCCGCCTTGTTGGCGTTTAAAAAATTTTCTTGAGTCATGTTGCTTGCAAACCCATCCTCGAGCCCATCCATCGGGCCCAACGAGAGTGATCCTTGATTTGTCTGTAAAAAAAGCACTTTACTGAAATAAGTTTTCATGTATTTTTTGCCCACTGCAATCCTCTTTCCTTATGTTTTTTTTTTTGTTAAAATGGGTTTCATTATTTGATTTTTTTACATCAGCAAACTTCCTTAATGCTTTACACCTTGTTTCCCTTGACACCATAGGAGCTCCAGCGGCCTCAAATATGAACGCACTTGACGCATTTGGGTTTCTTATTAATTCTCTTCGGATATGTGATAGATCTCGCTTTGTTAAATTCCTGAATTCAGTCTGAGATTTTTTTTCCTTGGTTGAATTCCCATTTGATGATCCGTTTTCAAATCCTTAGAAATTTGAAGCGAAGACTTTCCTTTGCTAATTTCTTTGATTATATAGTTCTTTTCATTCATTGTTAGTTCTTTTTTACGAGCCATAATACTAAATTCTAGTTCTTGCAAATAATCTCTTGACACTGCAAATTGCTATGATTACGGAAAAAATACTAAATATCAATCTGAAATTGAAAATTGGGACTTAATTGCTTTTATGCTTACTCGCTATACATAATAGTACAAATTATTTCATTGGATAACACATATCTATGAATTTTACATAAAATATTTGACAATACCTCTTTTGCATATAATTTCTAGACGCAGTTTATTTGGGTACTTTCGTTTTCTATCCGTATGCAGGCGGTTAGCTTCAAGTATAGCTTTTAAGTAGATTGATTAGACGCCTTACACTTACGGCCTTGGTTAGTACGAAAATGAGTTTAATAGATATCGACAAAGTAATTTCTTATATCTATATATATATTTAGAGGCAGAGATTGAGGAAGTGTGTGTGTCTAAATGCGCATGCGTTTATCTAAATCTGTAAGCGCGTGTACTTTTGGTGGTTATTTGATAGCGTTGGTTCGCCATTGAAGTGTTTATATTTAACCTGCCATAACACCTCGTTCTTTACCAAGTGAAATCTTAGATAAAATTTCAGATAAGTTTTAAATTAAAAGAAAATATTAAAACTAATTTGTTGCAGCAAATTTCCTTTTACGCTTCCGATGTAGGCAATCTTTGTATATACCTTTCGTCGCTTTTCTTTTTTTTTCTTTGTTATTTTTATATATTTTTATTCTTTAATTTAAAATTTTAAGTTCTTATATAATCGCCTGTAAACATCAAATAGAAAGCCTTTCGTTTGTATAGGCTTCCATACTTTTCTCGCTTTCTTTTTCATCTTTATATTCTTTTTTCTTTACGTCTTTCTCTTTGTTTCTTTCCATTACCTCTTTTCTTTCTTCATTTCTCTCTTCTCTTCATTCTCCTGTGCTTTCGTCTTTTCTCTTTTTTGCTATTTACTTTTGTTCTTTCCGTCTTTCCTACCTAACTCCCTTCCTTCATTTATATTCTCAGTCCCACTTTCTTCCTTGCTTCTTCTTTCTCTCCTTCATTTTCCCTTCTTTCGTAATTCTTTCTTTCTTTTCTTTGCTGTTTTTCGTCCTTCATTTTTACCTTATTTCCTCTTGCCTTCCTTATCTTTCATACTTCTTCCCTATTCCTTCTTGTTTCCATGATTCCTTTATTCTTTCTATTCCTTCTTTCGATGCTTTTTCATCTTTTATCTGTTTCATTCTTCCTTCATACTTTCCATCATGTTTCCTTTCTTTCTTTCTTTCTTTCTTTATTTCATTCATTCATTCTTTCTTTCTTTCATTCATTTATTTATTCTTTCTTTCTTTCTTTCTTCCTTTCTTCATACCTGTCCATCCTGTTTCTTTTCTTTCTTTCGTTCTGTCTTACTTTCTTTCTTTTTTTCTTTCTTTCATTCCTTCCCTATTTCAAGCTGCCTTCAAACTTTTCCATCCTGTTTCCATTCTTTCTTTTTTTTCTTTCTTTCATTCCTTCCCTATTTCAAGCTGCCTTCAAACTTTTCCATTCTTTCTTTCTTTCTTTCTTTCTTTCTTTGAGTTCTTCTTTTCTTTTCCAACCTGTTTGCTTTCTTTGTTTCTTTGTTTCTCTCTCTTTTTCTTTCTTTCTTTCTTTCTTTCTTTCTTTCTTTCTTTCTTTCTTTCTATTAGTTCTTCTTTTCTTTTCCAACCTGTTTGCTTTCTTTGTTTCTTTGTTTCTTTGTTTCTTTCTTTCTTTCTTTCTTTCTTTCTTTCTGTGAGTTCTTCTTTTCTTTTCCAACCTGTTTGCTTTCTTTGTTTCTTTGTTTCTCTCTTTCTTTCTTTCTTTCTTTCTTTCTTTCTTTCTTTCTTTCTTTCTATTAGTTCTTCTTTTCTTTTCCAACCTGTTTGCTTTCTTTGTTTCTTTGTTTCTTTGTTTCTTTGTTTCTTTCTTTCTTTCTTTCTTTCTTTCTTTCTTTCTTTCTTTCTGTGAGTTCTTCTTTTCTTTTCCAACCTGTTTGCTTTCTTTCTTTCTTTCTTTCTTTCTTTCTTTCTTTCTTTCTTTCTTTCTTTCTACTTTTCCATTCTGTTTCCTTTCGTTCTTTTTTCTTTCTTTCCTCCTTCCTCACTTCCCTCCTTAATTCTTCATTCATACTTTTCCATCCTCTTCCTTCCTTCCTTCCTTCCTTCCTTCCGTATTTCATTATTCCTTCATACTTTTCCATCCTGTTCGTTCGTTCGTTCTTTCTTTCTTTCTTTCTTTCTTTCTTTCCTTCTTTCTTTCTTTCTTTCTTTCTTCATTCCAGGCCCACCACCATAGATCAGCCTTTAAGTCAGTGTGGTTACGAGTAAGAATATGTGCACTAAAGTGGGGCAACAAATCTCTGAAATGAGGGTAGTCACTCCCAGCCTCGCCCTGCTGACGGGCCTGCTTTAGACATTTACGTTTTTTCACACTTCCTTTCTTCTTTTTCCTCTTCTTCTCTATTTCTTCCCCGCTCTTTTTGTTTTGCTTCTTCCTTTCCTTTATTTTTATCTTCATTCTTTTTTTGTCCAAGTCTTCTTTCTTTTTGTTCCTGTTTCATTCCTTGCTTTATTTTTCACCTTCTTTCCAACTCTTTCCCGTCTTACATTCTATTCTCTTTCTTTTTCTTTTATCTTTCTTAATTTCGACTTTCTTATTCCTCTCCTTCTTTTCTTTGTTTCCTGTGCCTCTTTCCTTTTCCGTCCCTTTTTTTTTTCTATTTCTTTTTCTTCTTTTCTTCATTTCCTCATTCTTGTTCTCTTTTTCATTCTTTCTTCTCTGTTAAATTTCTCTTTCATATCTGCCTTCATTCTATTAATCTTTTCTTTCCTGCTCTTCTCTTTACTTGCTTTTTTCTTTTCCTTCTTTTCTTTTTTCTTCATTCTTTTTTTTTTTTTGCTCTCTTTCTTTTCTTCCTTTTTCTTGCTCCATGTTTATTCTTCCTACTGCTTTTTCGCTTTTCTATCCATCCATTTTTCTTTTTTCCTTTCATTCTTCCATTCATCCATCTTTCTTTGCTCTACATCCTCTTTTCATTTTTCCTTTTTTTCTTTCTCAGTCTCTTTTGTTTGTTTGTTTCTTTCTTTCTTTCTTTCTTTCTTTCTTTCTTCGCCCAGTATACTCTTTTATTTTCACCTTTTATTCTTTCGTTCTTTCTTTCTTCGCTTAGTACCCTCTTTTCATTTCTTCTTTCTTTGGTCCATTCTTTTTTTCTTCTTTCTTTCTTTCTTTATTTATTTCATCGCTCAGTCTCATCTATTAATTTCCCCTATCTTTCTTTCGTTCTATCTTTCTTTCTTTTTATGTTCAGTATCTTCCTTTGGTTTTTCCACTGTATTTCTCTTTCTTTCTTTCTTTCTTTTTTTCTTTCTTTCTTTCTTTCTTTCTTTCGTTTTTCCGTATACCCTTTTCACGTTCTTAATTTCTTTCTTTCTCACTCTTTCTCTCTTTCTTTTTTCGTTCTTTTTTTTTTATTTCTCTCTTCCTCCGCTATCCTCTTGTCATTTTCTCCCTTCTTTTTTTATTCTTTCTTTTGTTCTTTCTTTCTTTCTTTCTTTCTTTTTGGTTCGAGTATTATCCTCTTTTCATTTTCCCCTTCCTTTTGGTTTTTCTTTCTTTCACTCTATCTTTCTTTCTTTCTTTCTTTCTCTGCTCAATATCTTGTTTACATTCCCTTTTTCTTTCTCTCTTTTTTTCTTTCCTTTTTTCTTCCTTCGCTCAATTTCCTCTTTTCATTCATTCATTCATTCTATCCTTCTTTCTTTCTTTCTTTCTTTCTTTCATTCTTTGCTCAGTGTCTTGTTTTCATTTCCCCTTCCTTCATTTTTGCTCAGTATCTTGTTTTCATTCCGTCTTTCTTTCTTTCTTTCTTTCTTTCTTTCTTTCTTTCTTCCTGTCTTTCTTTCTTTCTTTCTTTCTTTCTTTCTATCTATCTTCCAGTTTTTCTCTCTTTCTTTCTTTCTTTCTTTCTTTTCCAGCTTCTTTCAATTCACTTATTTTTCCTTATTTAATGGCTCAAGGTCTAAATATGTGGCCGTAGCGATTGATGAAGCTTGTGTAACGCCAATCATTTACCTTAATTTCTTTTGATGGAGTAGGGAAATAAATTATCTTTGTAAACTTGTTCAGCATACAGCACCTCGTGCCATGCTCCATCTTTACAAGAATCACCGGTCAATCCAAACAAAAAAAAAAAACAAAAACAAAAACGGAGCATTGCTGAAATATCTGGGCTGGAGCTGCACAGGTCTCATTTTCCAGTTTTAACATAGTTCAAAAGCGTCTACACAACTTTGTAGAGGATGAATTATTTTCCATCCTGCAACCTCTCTTCAACATATGCAACGTCGCAGGTCTATCTCTTCCCTATTGCTACTTTCTTGTCATATATTCAGACGAGCTACATTCTTTAGTTCTAAAAATTCAGATAGCGCCATGGTTGACTTATTCGCCTTCCTTTCGTATACCATTAGTAATGAAGAAGATCCATGAAGACCGCTTCTTCCTTGGAACTCTTACGGTGGGGAAGAGACTCCCATCCCGAGCAATACGATCTCACCCTTTTCAAGTTTAGAGTCAACCGTTGTCAATCCCACATATCCTCATAAGCTGCACTTACTACCTCCTCTTATGTTTATACAACGACCTCATTAAACAACCTCTTTAAACAACCCCATTAAACAACCTCATTAAACAATCCCATTAAACAACATCATTAAACAACCTCATTAAACAACATCATTAAACAACCTCATTAAACAATCTCATTTAACAACCTCATTAAACAACCTCATTAAACAACCCTCGAGCATGACTGGTTCTTTAGTCAATAAAAGAAAAGCTATGGAATCCATGATTTCTCACGTCATGAGTAAAACCTATATACGACATTCCTCTCTCCCTCTCTTTGTCTCTTTCTGTCACTGTTTCACGCACCTACGCATACACACACACACACACACACACACACACACACACACACACACACATATATATATATATATATATATATATATAAGTGAACATTGAAGTCAACACTCAGATGCGACAGACTGTTTCATGCTAGACGCAATTATCAGGCCACATGTGTTAGGTTTTTCCTCGACTGTTTATAAATACGGGTCAGTGGTGCATTGTGGGTAGTCCATTCTAACGATTGTTTTGGCGGGAGTGGTTTGTTTATTTATTTAGCAAAGAAACCGAAAGCTGCGATTTGACACTTTATTAAATAAAAACTGCACTTCTCTCACTGAAACATCGTGATTTTGTAGTAAAAACGCCAAACTGAAGTTCTGTAATTATTAATGTTATTTTTTTTAAATATTCCCACTGAATAATTCTAAATCAGCTCACATTACGCATATGAAGAGGTTTTAATATTATGAGTCAGTGTTCATTATTTTAAGCGGGTAGGGTGATTTGCGGGTGATTAATGATACTGAAAGCCTTTGTGCTATTCAGAAAAGCAATTTAACTAATACTCTTAAATATTGATTCGGCAATCATTGACACAATTCAATACCAAAACCACAACAATCACAAAAGATGTGAAAGACAGTGAGTGAAAAGCATCAAAAGCCATGGCAATTTTTAAATTAAAAACCGTGTTTCTTTTCTTCTCTACATCCAACGTCGCCCTTCTTAAATCTTGGTTGATATTTAAATTTCTATGGAACCCCAAATAGTAATTCAATTCAATCTTGCTCGTTATACAACAGAAAAGATTGTCTAGACTAGAGGCCGGCAACCTTTTAGAGAGAGCAGGCTAGAAAGCTATTCTGTGTCTCAAAGGAGGGTCATGATATTAAATCTACTATAATAAATTGTCTCGACCTCAGACAGTTCCATCCAGAAGGCTGCCTTGGTCTGGAGGTTTAAAGAGAAAAACAAAACAAAGTTAATGTTAAACATGGTTCCTTATTTTATTACAGGAATAACAGGATAGCAATTAGTACAAACAAGAAAAAAATGCAAATTCTTTACTACAAATGAAATACATTTAGAAATGGTTAGTTATTTAATGAGACGTTTGTTCAGTAACTTCTCCACTTCAGGTGAGAAATTTGTTGATGACAGGTGCAAAACAGCATCCTGGTTGTCATCATCTAACCTTGTTCTTAAATGACTTTTAGTATATTTCATTTTTGAAAAAAGTTTTTCACAAGCATATCTACTTCCAAATAATGATACCATCATTTTCGCATTATTCAATAGACTTCAATTCTGCTTGTAGATGTCAGTAGTGGATTTGGAGAAAAAAATTTGATTTAAAAAATTCATTGCACTGTAAGTCGATTAACTCTGATATTTTTCTGCAACTTGTTCCACAAGTTAGATAATTTGTGCCCAGGTGTTAAAATGGCGGACTATTAGCATGCAAGTGAATGTAATGGATCTGACTAGAATTTGAAATCGGCTCTCTGATGATATCAAATTTACTATAATAAATTATTTCAACCTCAGACAGTTCCATCCAGAAGGCTGCTTTGGTCTGGAGGTTTAAAGAAAAAACAACAAAGTTAATGTTATATTATTTAAACAAAGTTCCTTATTTTATTGCAGCAATAACAGGATAGCAACGTGCACAAACAAGAAAAAAATGCAAATTCTATGGTTATGTTTGCGGGCAGGAAAAAAATCCTTCGCAGGTTGGATATAGCCCAGAAGCCGGGGGTTGCCGAGCCCTGATGTAGATAGTTTTTTTCTCTGTTCGAGAGTTTTTTTTTAAATCATTCCATCCTAATCGAGGCAATAAAGCCACTAAGACGCAATGGGTTGCAACAGTAAGAATATGAGAAAAAGAAAAAGTAAATGTTATATTATTTCAACAAGGATTCTTATTTTATTGCAGGAATAACTGGATAACATCTAACACAATCAACAAAAAATGCAAATTCTTTACTACAAATGAAATAGTTAGAAATAGCAAATTGTTTAATTAGAAACATGTTTCTACTTATTGTTCGATAACTTCTTCAGGTGAAAAATTTATTTATGACAGGAGAGAATCATAATCCTGGTAATCATCATTCAACTTTGTTCTTAGACGACTTAGTACATTTCATTTTCGCTTGTACATAATATATCTACTTCCAAATAATGATACCATTATTTTCGAATTCTTCAATAGGTTTTTATATTTTCTGCTTGACAAAATATATTTCTTGAAGAAGTCAGCACTAGATTTGAAATTAAATTTTGATTTAAAATCTCCTCGCATTGTAAGTCGATTAACTCCAACTGATATTGTTCTTGCTCCGAAAATTAATTAGTTAATTAGTATCCAAGTGTCAAGTCAAAAATCCTTCGACATGGCATTTAAAAATGTTTGATTTCTAGTCATAATCATATTTCCATCTTGGATAATCAGGAGACTTATTTTACAGTGGTATTCACCCTGTACAAGGCCCGGGAAGCACTCGAGGTAGAGGGTTAAAGAGTAAGAGGCACAGCTTATGCGGATATGTACGGAGGATAAATATTAACCCTAGATCGGAACAGGTTAGGAATGTAATGATCGGGAAAGCAACTACTTGGGAGTCGGTTCCACAACGCAGTCGTTCGGGAGAAGAAGATGCTTGAGTAGAGCTTACATCTCACCAGCAAAGGATATATATATATATATATATATATATATATATATATTTCAAGAAACTAGAGTCCAATAATATTCAGACACAGTAAGTATTCCCTCTGTTTGCAAAGGAAAGGCCCACGGGATCTGATATACAAGGACTCTAGAACCTTGAGGTGAAAAGTGAAGTGGGACCTAGATAAAATCAAAAACGGTCCGCACTAAAATTAAGCACACATTTCCTGTTTATTGTATGCTCAGCAATAGCAGAGCCAGAACTATTATATATATATATATATATATATATATATATCCACGCCGACAGTAAGTCTCGGAGTTTTATGCACTATGCAATCAACAGGTACAAAAGAATTTGTACCTGTTGATTGCATAATACTATGAAAATGTCGGTGTGGGGTATTATGTATATTTATTAATATATAATTCATGGCTCTGTTATTTTGCATTAAATAATATTTTATTTGCCTAAAATACATATATATATATATATATATATATATATATATATATATATATATATATATATATATATATAGTGAGAGATATCATTTATATATACAATTATGTGACAAGATAGATGAAAAACGCTGTTATAGATAGACTAGCAGCATGGCCCGGCGTTGCCCGTGCTTGATTCAAAAATCGTACGACTCATACAGCAATCGCTATCACTTGACTTAAAATATTTTGCCCTTCCTTGCTATTAAAGGAGAGCCCTTTCCCGTGCTGATGTTGCTACAGGCCTTACTTCTTGCCTATCTCACAATGCGAATTTTTTCTAAGCTCTATACTAAACATTAAATCTGTGACGAAAAAAGAACTAAACAAAATGAACACAAAACGATCAGCTTTAAAAAAGGACTCGTAACTGGAAAAACCGAATGAAAAAAATAATGTTAACAACAAATAATTTTCACACCCAACCCAGTTCTACGGAATCAAAATCAACGTTGAGTTTAAGCAAGCGAATGAGCCAATTAGAGTAAAGTGCCATGCAAATTTAGATTTTTCCTACTTGTGACGAATTCAGCTATCGATTTTTTTTGCATGCTAGCATGCTAGTTAACATTCGTGTCAGTCAGCTGTTGGCTCTCACGCTGGCCAATAGAATCTTCCTGCCTATTCGTAACAGCCAGCTATAAACTCTCATTCTGACCAGTACAAAATGGCCGAAAACTACATGAAAACTGTCGTAGAAGCATGAAAAAGTCGATTATTTCCACTATCGATGGGAGTTGGGAAATGCAAAGCCGGTCTTGGCCATCCCGCAAACTTGGAGCATGTGCATGTAAATTTTGGTGCAAATCCGTCGAAAATTGCGGCCGGGCATTCGTTACACACACACACACACACAAACACACTCACACCCTGCCGTTTATAGATAGATAGATAGATAGATAGATAGATAGATAGATATACATAAGCAGAGATAGAGAAAAGAGATAAAAAATGATGTAGAAAAGAAAGAAAGATAGAGAAAGATATAAAAAATGAT